GTATGCAGGTAATTACTATGCAAGGGAGCCACAAATTAAGCCAAAAAATATATAATAAAAAATGGATATATCCGGACATACGGCGTACGCATGGCATCATAATGATTTGCAAGGCGAGCTTGAATAAGAAAGTCGTTAAGCTGAGGTCAGCATTTTGATCACAAAAGTAATCACTTTTGAATTAGCGTAGCTACAAATTTTCCAGATATAAAAAAGCTTATCGGGAATACTTGAAGGAAAACATATTTTTAGAACAGGTCTTTAGAACATTTTGCCATAAAAAATAAATAAGTTTTTATCAAACATGCGGTCGTTATATACGTTGCTATGTGTTGCCAGTCATTAATTAGCGACGTTTGAGTGCATGCATATTTAAATGTATAACATATTTGTACACTAATCAGCCGGACGTGTTAGGCAAATAGCGCGGGCGGGCGGTAAATAGCGAGCTTTGCAGGCAAAAGTTTGCACAAAATTTCAGTTTTAAAATACATTTATTTCTTCAAAACTTTTTACAATATTTAGTACGGTCTACTTCTAAGAGCGTAACGTCTGGGTGTTTTTGTTAGTTTTAAGTAGTTCTCATACTCTTGTCTATCTTCAGGTGATTATCTTGCAACATCTTCACGCTTCATTGGAATATATTTTGGCCTTTCCTTTAGTAAAACACGTTCGTACGGCTCTCTTTCCCTCTGTTTCATCATAGCCAAGTCACTTTCTTTCCAATTAGCAGAATCTACCCAACTGTGAAAAAAGTTGCGCTTGAGCCTTGGTCGTTCACCTTCGGTTGGTGGTGGTGTAAGGAAATTAGGTTTAGGCGTAGCAGGTACTTGTGATGGTCTTTCCGCCGGTACAGGATAAGGAGGCACTTGTAGTGGTATCTCAGCAGAGACAGGAGTAGCAGACACTAGTGGAGTTCTCTGAACAGGGGCTTCGTGATATTGAGCCGGGACATGCATCTAATTTTTGAATATCCAAAACCGATTTAGTTGATCAGAATAAAGCTTGCTTTTTTCCATCACAGAAAATTGTGGTGCTTCCAGGATCTCTTTCATTCTCTGTTCGGTATCATACATTGCATTTACAAGTGGTGGTTGTTGATACAACTTTTATCGTACATATTCGACCAACGCGACAGTTTCGCCTGGTAGTATATTCGTCTTAAGTCGTTGCTGATCGTCTGTTGTTGGCTTTAAATCCAACATCAAACAGCCGTGAAGTCGGCTCGTTGCACTCTGCCATTATTTATTTTCCTTGAAAGCATAGAAATTTGCTGTTTATCTCTTGACGACTTGGGCAGCACAGTATAATGGGCGTTAAGGCTAATATTTCTCATTTCTTTGTCCTGATGAAATATTTTTTGGACAATATAGATGATAGACAAATTTAGGTGATGGCTTCCCTTTCTAAAAAGTTCAGCAATACGTTTATCTTTGCCCGATTAATAAAATTCTGTTGAGATACGTCCAAGTAATCTCCGTTGTCGATATCGTCGGGAATGCCTTGATTAAACTCGATTCCAGGCATAATTTTCAGTATATCAAAATAGGATAGTTGCCATTAACCATAACACCAGATGATACGTTGAGGAGGTGGACTTGTAGTTTTCTGTGAGTTCTCCAAAAGAGTTTTCCCCCACGCAGTCTTGCCGCTTTCTCTACACCCAGCTACGATGCACGGGAAAGGGTGTTGCATGACTGTCTCCATTCACCGTAAGAGTTCGTTGCCAAAGATTGCGATTTCAATATGCATGGACTGCCTTCTCGTGGCGAAGGAGACTACTCGCATTTGCAAACGTTTTACCGCAAATGTCGCATCCAAAGACATGTTTACTTCTCAAGAGTCAGAGTAAAATTATTTAAAGCAAGGGCGAAGAGGTATATATATTCCTTTGGCTGTAGTCATGACTATTAAGACTATGGTCATAACTATTAAGACAATAGTCATGAAGATAGTCATGACTATAGTCATGACTATAGTCATGCCTATAGTCGTAATCGTCGCGACTATAGCCTTAATAGTCGCGACTATAGTCTACTATAGTCTTAATAATTATGACAATAGTCATGACTATAGTCTTAATAGTCATGCTATGGTTATGACTATAGTCTTAATAGTCGCGACTATAGTCTTAATAGTGGTGACTATAGTCTTAATAGTCATGACAATAGACTTTATAGTCATGACTATAGTCTTAATAGTCACGAGAATATTCATAATAGTCATGACGATCGTCTTAATAGTCATGACAATAGTCTTAATACCCATGACCATAGTATTAATGGTCATGACTATTTAACAATTAGTCGCCGAAGGCGAGGTGATTACAAACCTATATTCATTGAGCCGAAGACGAAGTGAATATAGGCTTGTAATCACCGAGCTTGAGGCGACTAATTGTTTTAGTATACATTTCCAGGTGTTTACAAATAATAATCAACACTACTTTATAAAAATTCACTTCAAATTTATTATTTTATTTAATAATTAATAATATTGTTAAATGTGCGTAAGGAAGTACGTCACGGCCGAACATGCGCGTGCGATCATCATTTTTCGAAGCTTGTCGCCTCGTCAACAGTTCAATATTACAAGTTAACACTTTGGCTCAAATATTGCCGCATAAATCAAACATAAATGTACTGTTATATATAAATCATGGGTCAACGAGTGTTCATGTTTACATTAAATGTAAACTGGCAATTGTTAAATGACCCAGATGGCAGTATTGACCCCGAATTCAAGCCAAGCGACGTGAAGAACTTTTCGTGTTCAGTCGACTGCAAATTTTAGCAGGATGAAGGTGTTGATGTGTTTGACATTGGTGTTAAGATCGTAGCAGAATGCCCGTGTTTTTCCTTCGACCAATCGAGAGATTGGCTTCGAGATTCTGGACTTCTGTCGCTGTGGATAAATGATGTTAACGCTGTTGACATTTCCTTGAATTGGCAAAGTGTTGGTACGTTCACTCGTTCGCAATAGCTTTCAATGCTGGAATCGCTCTTGTGCCCCGTAACGGCTTTTGATGTTGCTGCCTGGAAAAACTGTCACGGTTGTCGCTCGTAAGGAATGGTTGGTTAGATATGTTGCCATTCCAGCCCTTTCGGTCATCTTTGGCAGCATATTTTCGAGCGTGTTGTGGCCAACGTTACAAGCGTCGTACCAGATTTCGTGATCTTTTAGGTTGAATTTCGCCGAGCTCTCGCTTTTTGGCCTTTGGAATAACACGGAAATATTTGGATTAAGATGAATCAAGTAGGTTTTAAGGATTTCGACAGGGCAACGTTTAGAAACGGGTTGCGAAAATATTTTAATGTCGGAGTGATCTTCGGAGCCATCTAGACCTTCCGTGTGATTTTTGCTCGTGAGAACAGCGCCGGGTTCGCTTCTGTTCAACTCGAAGTACTTTTGGCCGTCTGCGGTTTTGACTAGACGTAGCATTGACTTCTTCAGTGAACTTTGGATTTCTCTACCACGTTTTCTGATGTAGATGGAAATTTGAAACCAAGCCGTTTGAAGCAAAGCCCGAGGACTTGGTGTGTCGACATCAGCAAGCTCGCGTTTTGCATACAGCTTCTTGATTATCTCGGCTGTCAAACTGACTTTTTGTACTGTGGCTGCTATATTTCCCTTCTCCACGAGCTGCTTCAGGTATGAACTAGGAGTTTTATTTGGTTCCCTGAACAACACGGTGTCGCATATTGAAAATCTTTTGTTATAAGGCGGTGCTTTCAAGTGGCGTTCAAGCGCTGCTCTTATGTACAACAAACTAGATTTTTTTTAGTAATTTCCATCTTGCTTTCTTGCTGAGACGCAACACTTGGAAAGACACTTATTCATTTCCTCAGTGAGTACTGCATTCAAATGCTGTTGTAAATTCAGCTTGGTCATGAAACCAATCTATTAACCCTATTTGTACCGGGGATACGCTCGATGAGCTCACCCTTATAAATATTTGACCGTCATTCCTGAATTAGTGATTCCATTTCACTGTGTTTTTATGACTTTTAATATTTTTCCCCTGCCGTCAAGACTGAGAAAAAATTTTCCTGAAAGTTCAAAGTTATCCGGACGTTTGACGACATTTGTCAAACAAGGTGTCGGGACAAGAAAATGGGAAAATGGGTGTTGGTGATTTATGACAGTATTTTTTTGCTGAATCACTTCCAATGACATAAATAGCATATTATAATTAGAGAACATATAAAAATGGATTATTACACATGATTTGAAAGGAAATATCCATAATATATCATATAAAATAGTAAAATATAGTATAATATACTAATATAGTATGCAATAAAATACCTATATAATATAAAATACTTATTTATAATATTTTTATATATGCAAATACACATATTTCTTTGTACCTTCAAGGCATAACATCTCCTTGCCTTTGAGGAAAATCCAAACTTTCAGGAAGTATATTATATTCCACAGTGTATGAATATCTTTCATGCCACAACTGTACCAATTTGGTATCAAATTTAGTATGAAATATTTCACATAAAATCCACATGATTTTCAAAGTAAATATTGTGTTTTCAAAACTGTAATGCGGGCTCGTAGCCTACCCTTTTTACACTTCGTGTAACACATAGTATCTTGGCCTGGTATAAAAAACGTTATCGCCATATCGTATGATTATTTTCTACAAGCGTTTCTTGTTCCACTTTCCTTGTTTGCTGAATCTTTCTTTGGTTTGTACTAAAGTAATTATGTCACCAAAGAGGGCTAGAGTTTCGGCAGAATGTGCAATTGCAAATATAATGAGACTCATGGATGATGATGACAACAGTGAATGTGATGATGGTGAAATTGATGGTGATGTTGAAAGTGATCTGGATAGTTTATATGGAGAAACAGGTCAGTGAAGTTGTATGTCTCTTCATGTACTAACTGTGGAAAACAATAAAACTTTTGAAATTATAAAAGCTGAATATCTTTCAAGCTCAAATTTACAAACCCAATGTTTATTTACAGGCAATGAAGAAAATATGGAAAGACAAGGAGATGCTGAGAACGAAGGCCGTCAGGATGAAACAGAGGATGAAATGGATGAACTCTCTGAATCTGACGAGGACATACGAGCAGGTCGTTTGAAGCGCGGACAACTTACAAAGAATCGCATGGATATAAATAATTACAATCCATACCCAATTCCCGAAGACCTGAAGCATATCGAAAGAGTAGTGAAAGTAGACAAACACCGGGAAAATGACGTTGTCCGTGTTTTCCAAAATAAACCACCAACAACAACAAATATTGGTCGTAACAATCGTGCAAATGTCATAACTGGAAGAAAAGGCCCTCAGCGAAAGGCAATAGTTACTCCAACACCCCGAGCTGGATTCGAGCTGTTTTTTACAGAAGATATCATGGCAACAATTGTTTCGTGCACCAACAGAAAGATTCGAAGCTTCATTTCGACAGTCCCAGATAATTTTGTTTCCCAAAACAGTAAATACACGTACGTAAAGGAAGCCTGCGTTGATGAATTATATGCCATTATTGGTTTGTATGTCTATCGAGGAATGTACAAACTAAACACTATCTCTGTAGATAAATTATTCTCGAATACCTATGGGCCACCGATATTCAGCGCAACTATGTCAAGGAATCGTGTCACATTTATCCGAGCAAATCTGTCTTTTGATGACTTGACGATAGATGGAAACAAGACCGTTTTGCCGCTATAAGAGAGATCTTTGAATCTTTTAACTTTGAATGTATGTCATGCCTTGTACCAAATGATTATATCTCTTTGGACGAGACACTTTACCCAATGAGGAACCAAATTTCCTTCAAGCAGTATAACCCATATAAGCCAGCCAAGTATGGTTTATTGTTCAAAGCAATCAATGCTGCAAGGTACCCTTATACATTTATTGCTTCTCCATACTGTGGTAAGCCAACAGAGGATGGTCCGGTGGGAAGTACTACGTACAGGGTACCGAAGCAATTGTAAAACAAATGATTGAGCGCTTATTAGAAAATAAAGTGCCACTGACTGGAAGGAACATATCGTTCGATCGGCTATATACGTCAATTAGCATTGCACTCTGGTTGTATGAGAAGAATATAACATGTCTTGGCACAATGCAAATGAATCGGAAAGGAGTTCCAGCTGAATGAAAGATTTTAAGAACAGGGAGAGCTTATTATCTGAAGTATATATTGGCAGAAAGATGGTCCACTATCCTTATCCTCATATGTTGTCGAAACAACAACCGGGAAGAAGAATGTGCTGATGTTATCGACACTCAATCAAATCCTTGGCAGAACCAAAGACGACAGCCGTAACAAGTTGGTATTGTGCAAACTGTATGATTTTACGAAAGGTGGTACCGACGTTGTTGATCAACAAATGGCATTTCACACAAGCAAAACCAAGTCGCGAAGATGGACCATGGTAGCGTTAGCCTACATGATTGATACGGCACGTGTGAATTCATCCACTATTTATGCCTTGAATAAGAATATCGATCCTCTCAAACAAAAATCTTTTGAGTATGGGCTTGAGTTGGTTATGCAATTAATCAAACCTCATATTGCAAGACGAAACCAAACCTGTTTGCTCATGGTTGTCAAACAAAAGATTCGGCTGATAATCGGTGACAATGGCCAAAATGATCAACCGGACGCAGATGATGGCCCTGCATTTGGAGAGAGTAGGAGGAGGTGCACTCTGTGTCAAAAACTGCAGCTCGAAAGGGTTACTCTGAAAAGAAAGTGTCTATCAAATGTATGAATTCATTCTGCCAGTCCTGTGGTAATCCTACATGCCAGGAACATTTGGTACAAAAATGCAAAGATTGTAAAGAAAAATAGTGGTGTTTATGGACGTCAGAGGTATGCCATAACATAAAAGTATGTCTTTTGAATCGAAAAAGACCCAAAGAAATCACATTCAAAATTTTTTTTTCCCTTTATAAAAATGAAACAAAACGGTTAAAATATTAGCATTTTTTGCCATTTTTTGATAGGCGGTCATACTGAAAGAGGCTAAAAAGCATCATTTTGGATGTGAATTTAACTTTTTTGCTAATTATAGGTAAAAGAAAGATAAAACTTCCTAAAAATAACACTAAAACTATACTAACATGTAAAAACCCCGGTACAAACAGGGTTAAATAAACGGCGTTTTTGTGTTTATTTTCACTATAAATAGTTTGTTTACATAATTTAAATCTCAGATACGGCTCTGTGTCGCGTTATGACGAAGCCAGTTTTTTCCAAATAAAAGCACGTAAAGTTTAATATTTTACCTTGAAATATTTTTAATCCATATTTTGTAGCTTGTTTGTTTGTTTTTCGGAATGCTATCTTCTTTAATTAGGGCAACTTCCTCTTCTGTTACTACGGCAAAACGAGCAGCGATTTTGAAAAAAAAAGCAAAAAGTGATAGTCACTGACCAGTGACTATCACTTAAGAGACACTGAATCTTGACCAATCAGAATGCAGGAAAATCAATAGTCACCAGGAAATTTATATACTAAGGTCTTAATAGTTATGACTATAGTCTTAATAGTCATGACTATAACATTAATAGTCATGACCATAGTCTTAATAGTCATGACAATAGTCTTATTATTCATGACTATAGTCATGAATATTAAGGCTATTGTCGTAACTAGTCAGACTATAGTCATGGCTATTAAGACTACAGTAATGACTATTGTCATGACTATTAAGACTATAGTCATGACCATTAAGGCTATAGTAAAGACTATTAAGACTATGGTCATGACTATTAAGACTATAGTCATGACTATGAAGACTATAGTAAAGACTATTAAGACTATTGCCATGTCTATTAAGACTATAGTCATGACTATTAAGACTACAATAAAGACTATAAAGACTATAGTCCAGACCTAGTCAATTGAGGGCGAGCCGAGTCTTATATATGTGTTATTTCCAATTAAGTCTTCATTCCGTTGTTGTCCGCCGAACAGAGATGACTAGCAGTTATATCAAACACAGACAGATTGTGGAGCTCTCGTGTATTTCTCATCCAATTCAACAGCAAGCTCTGTTGAATTCTGCATCTCCTCAGCAGATTCGCTTTCTATGTAATTGCTTGGAAAACTTTACATATCCTAAAGGAACATTGAACAAACTTGGACCAATTAAAGACGATCTCGTTAATTGGCGGACAGAAGTAGGAGTTTTAGAAAGAAAAGGAAAATTCCTGTTCAGCGCGGGAGTGGCTTTCTAGGATTGATACTTGCCCCACTTTAGAGGGCCTTGCAAAATTAGTATAAAATAATCATCATTATTTCGTATCGTCATTCCAACTATGGACAGCAAGGATAGAAAATCTCCGAGACATTGGCGCGTTGAAGATATACTTGGACACGATAATATTGATAAAAGCAACACTGAAGAGCTTCTTCATTGCATTCTCACGTGTCCTTACAATGCTAGCGCACAAACAGCCACTAGATGATGTGGATTCACAGTCTGATAAACCCGAGGGTGATGAGTCTGAAGACGTGGACACAGCTTGTAACAGTTGTAACAAAGATTTAGAAATCTCTCATTTGGGTACATGCCTTGTATGCGCACGGACTTCGATTTTATTCCAATTATACAAGGTGTCACTGTATGATCTGTGAGTTTCAACTGTACGATGGAAATTTCACGTATGTAATCGCCAGTTGCCAACATTGTCATTGTGATGAAATTATAGATGTTAGTACTGACAAAAGACTTTTTTACCATAAAATAAATGAACAAAGTGGCATTTCATCAGTTGATTGTGTGAAGTTGAACTGAACACATCAGTATGCCGAGGGGTACACTTTTTGTAGACAAAAAACTATTGATAGACCATTTCTTGAAACATCAGGGTGGTGGGAATATCACTGGGTATCGTGGTATACGTTTTCCAAGAGGTTATGTGCTTGGTGGAATTTTTAGGAGCCTTGCGAGATATGCTATCTATCTATTCAAGCAAGGTGCTAAAGCTGTTGGATAAAGAGCGTTATAAGCAGCCAGAGAAGTCGGTCAAGATGTACTGCAAGGAAAAAATGTTCGAGACTCACGGAGGAGAAGTTGTTAAAGACTTTGCTGAGCAAGGAGCAAGAACTCTTCTGCGTCAAACGGGCCAGGGAAGCAAGAGAAGACGAAGTCAATGCAGTAATCTCTCAATTGTCAAGAAACAAAAACTTGAAGACCCAAGACTTACCAAATGGTTAACGAATGATGAAAGCAGCTACGATGATGAAAGCAGCCATGATGACAAATCGAATAGTGTCAAACAATTCACGAAATATATTAAAAGCATAACTTGGTAAACGTTTTGAAGAAATAAATGTATTTTAAAACTGAAATCTCGTGCAAACTTTTGCCTGCAAAGCACGCTCTATCCCAACCACCCGCGCGATTAGCCTAACACGTACGCTGATTAGTGTACGTCCAATATTATATGCATACACTTAAGCGTCGCTAATTAATGACTAGCAACGGATATAACGCCGGCACAGCAACGTTTTTAACGTCCGCATATTTGATAAAAACATATCTCTTTTTTATTGCAAAATATATTACAACTAAGACCTGTTCTAAAAGTTTTTTCCTTCGAGTATTCTTGATAAGCTTTCTTATGTTTGGAAAATTTGTAGCTACACTAATTAAAAAGTGATTACTTTTGTGATAAAAATGCTCACCTCAGCTTAGCGACTTTCTTGCTCAGGCTCGCCTTGGATATCATTATGACGCCATGCGTACGCCTTATGTCCGGATATATCCCTTTTCGATTCTATTCTTTTCTGTCTTATTTTGTGGCTCCTTTACATAGTAATTACCTGCATACATAACGATGCGGCCCCTTGCATATAAATTATCTGCATACATAATGATGCGGCCCCCTGCGACCCCTTGCATAGTAATCACCTACCTACACAACGATGCGCCCCCTTGCATGGTAATTATCTGTATACATTATGATGCGGTCCTCTGGGATCCCCTTGCATAGTAATTACCTGCATATATAACGATGTGGCCCCCTGCGGCCCCCTTGAATAGCAATTACCTGCATACATAAAGATGTGGCCCCCTACGGCCCCCTAAAAAAAGGGTCGAACGGTACCTATATTACTACTGATAAGGAATTTTTCTTACAAATAGAAAACCAGTTTAAAGGGTTGATAAATGGTAGGAACTGTTTCATAAAGAGCATTAATTAATTACGACCTCAAAAAATAAAAAGAAAATAAATGGAATAATCACTAAATGGCAGACTGCATGGCACTGTTGTTATCCTAAATATTAATTGCACAAAGGACACATAATAATTTCAATAAGATATATCAAACTCTTTATACTTACATGGAGGGCATGCGCAAATTTCATTATTATTGATGAGTATACATCCTGAAATTAGATTAGGAAACATGGCATGTAATTACTATTTTTATTTTTTACGTACTGTGTCAGTTACTAAGATCCTGATTGTCCCATATAACAGTTATAGATAAGGAAATGACACGATCGTCCAAAAGATTAGACGTAGGTTGATCCAGCAGTATGAAAACAAAAAACAAAAAATCAAAACGAATAACTATTCTTGCTGCGACTATTTCCCCTTCTAGTCAGATCCTAATACTGTAGTAGGTAAACGAGTTTTCCAATAAAATACTGTCTCATAGAACCTAGAATGATTTAAATGCAACATTTCTGATCAAAATCACC